GATGGCAACTATGTGTTAGTTTACTTATGGAAACAGTCAAAGTGTCTGAAATGAGGTCAACAATGGCGGCACGGGGCTGTTTATGATTTAGACAGTTTTCAGGTATTGATATATATTTTTGTTTAAACTTGAGTAATGTAAGTAGATACTGTACTGTAAATAGTCTGCCATTCTCAATGTTCCAATACATATTGAACATTATTATTGATATTGTTTATCTTATTTCTTATATATTGTGTTGTTTATTAACATTTAGGAACTTTTGTGTGAAATCTTTAAATCTTTTAATCTTTTTATCTGTTGCTGCTGATACACTGGAATTTCCCATCCGTGGGACAATAAAGGCTGTTTCTATTCTATTCTATTCTATTCTATTCTAGATAATGTGTAAATGAGTTTTAATCTACATCATTTGGAATGGTTCAGGATAAACTTTTTATCTTTTATTTTGAGTACCTTTTAATGTTTTTTTTACTTATGGCCACTGAACTAAAGGTCCGTCAGTCTGTCCATGTGAATGTATGGTTTCTTTCCTGTGATGGCATCTCCAGCAGGTCTCTCCTCCAGACTGCTAGGCTGTTGCTCATCAGCAGGTCTTTTTCTATCACTGTATCTCAGCACTTTCTCAGTTTGTCCAACAACTCTCACTCAGCCCCCCTTTTTTCCTTCTCAGCATTCTCATCACGTCCTCGCCTCCGTGTTTGCTCAGATTTTAGGTTTGGCTCAGAAAATCAAAAGAAACCTGTGCAGTGGTTTGGGATGTCCATATAACCTGCTGAAGACAGCTGTCCAGAGCAGATGGAGTGCAAGTTTGACCACTTCTTGCTCAGCGTGCGTTTTCACGTGCCTCTGTAAGATCGATCATGTTAATTAAGCAAGAATAATGAGAGAGTGAGACCATTCTAAGGAAGGAAAGGTTTCTCTCTAATGAATCTCTGCTGGAAGGCTCAGGAAAGAAGCACAGCCATTTTTGGGAGCAAGGAGCCATCTCCTTGGTGAGTACCATGGCAACAGCCTAGCGTGGGCCCCAGCTTTCCTGAGATGTCCTTTTCAAGCTCCCATTCTAAAGTGGCAGCCCAGTTGTTTTTTTTGTTTGTTTTTTGTTATGCGATATCTTTTGCTCTCTCTTGGCCATTCTTCTGTCTTCTTCTTTTCTCTGCCATCCTGACATGGTCCTGGCCTCGTTCAGCAGTGAGGCTGTGAGAAGACCTTAGAGGGTGAGTGTCCGTGGGAAAATGTTGCCAGACAACACAATGGTATGTGACAAGGAGGGACAGCTATTATATAGCCTGCGTGGGGCAAAAGGGGAACCTATTATAATGAATAAATTATATACCCGTATTTTCCAGCGTATAAATTGCAATTTTTTTGCATAAATTTGTCAGTCCTGCGTCTTATAGGCTGAAGCGACTTATATATGTTTTTTTCCATATTCATAATGCAATTTTTGACTGACGCTTTAAATTTCTAAGAACTGCAACAGTGAGTCCTCCCGTGCGCGCTCACTTCACTCAGCTGGTGCAGGCGGAGGAACGCTGGAGAGCTAGTGGCTCTGGCCGTGACGGATGGATGGCGTCATGTCGCCCAGGCAAAATGAAGCTGTTTTGACCATTAAAGTGCATTTATTAAAGAAAAGTTAAACTGACACACCTTTACTATAATGTCAAGCAAACAAATAATTGTTTTTAAGTGTTACTCTTGTTAAATTTCTAAGAAGTGCAACAGCGAGTCCTCCGTGCGTGCTCACTTTGCTCAGCTGGTGCAGGCGGAGGAACGCTGAAGAGCTAGTGGCTCTGGCCGTGATGGATGGATGGATGGCGTCATGTCGCCCAGGCAAAATGAAGCTGTTTTGACCATTAAAGTGCATTTATTAAAGAAAAGTTAAACTGACACACCTTTACTATAATGTCAAGCAAAGAAATAATTGTTTTTAAGTGTTAATCTTGTTAAATTTCTAAGAAGTGCAACAGCGAGTCCTCCGTGCGCGCTCACTTTGCTCAGCTGGTGCAGGCGGAGGAACGCTGAAGAGCTAGTGGCTCTGGCCGTGATGGATGGATGGATGGCAACACACCACCCAGGCGAAATGAAGCTGTTTTGAACATTAAATAAATGCATAATAAGCGTGACGGGTCAGCAGTGATGCATAATAAATGCAACTTATACACCGGAAAATATGGTAAGCTGATCATTTTCACTGTGTACACAAGATATAAACACTTTACCTTTCTAATCAAGAACCAACAATTAACTCTCTATCTTTAGGTCCCGGTTTTTATTTCTCAGTTATACTATTTTATGTTTGCCCTTATGGAACAATCCACCATAAAGTTGGTCTTATATACTAATAATACGTCTTCCTCCAGTAGATAAAGAAAACCTCTCTGCAGGACATTTATGACTGGTTTGTACTCAAATACATACATTATTTTATCTATTGACAGAACACACCAAGTCCCCATATGAAGACTGATTCATTTTATACATTTATTTGTTGATTAAAATTCTAAATAATGTCTTCAAGGGTTAAATGTGCTGCGTGTTATCATTGACTGTACATCTACAACCGATCGATTAAATGTTTGAGTCAACTCAGTTAAAGATGCCACCACTGCTAATCAATCTTAGTCTACACAAAATTGGCTACATCTTATTTAGTTATACAGATATTGAGCTAAATTTGGCATGGTGGTAGCTGAGAGTGATCCTCAGCACATGTTTCAGGTGCTAACAGATCACATGATGTAATTTGCTGTGGATCGTGCTGAACATCATTAAGAAGGTTGGACCAAAACGGCTTTAACTCTTCGATCTCTCAAAATAAGATCATCTTCATTTGAAACTCTGGCATGAAATAATAATAATACGGATTATTTCATGAAATACTAGGAGTTTATTTTTATTTTGCTTTTCAAAATAGATACAGAACTATAAATCTTAATGAAGTATATATTGTTTTAATGTAACAGTCATTTTCTCTGTATTTTTTTCTCATGCTGCTCGCCGCATAAATATCAGTTTTATTTACCTTAGAATATAATTAACAATAAAATATTGAACAATCACGCAATAGAACAGGGGTGTCAAACTCTTTTACAAAAGGGGGCCAAAATCAAAACCGTTTTGAAACTAAGGGCCAATTTCAGAAACTACATTAACTCAAATCAGATACCCGACATCTTTTCTTGGTCACAGGTTCCTCAACAAAAGTTTGATTGGTCTCATTTGACATTTTCTGTTGTGCTTTCAACAATGTAATCAAATATTACTGTAAAAAAATTCAAGAGATAAAAGTATTTTACTTTTCACATCATCTTGGGGGCCAAATAAGATGTCAGTGAGGGTCACATTTGGCCCCCAGACCTTGAGTTTGACACGTATGTGTTAAGAGTACTTTATTGACATTTATCAATTTTTAACATACAACTGAATGACAAACATGACACCATCATTTAAAAACCGCATAGTACTTCTGCAAAAACAGCTTTCACTCCTATAAGTACCGAGAAACTTTTAAAATGCTACAGGCATCAGGACATCACTGACATCATATGGACACACAAACAAACCTGCTTTACTTTCACCATCCTTGTCGGATATGCAATAAACTGTAGCTTATAAACGATGTACATAACAGATTAACTGTCATAGGATCAGAACTAAAAGAAAAGGGGTTCAGTTCTGAGCCGGTCAGCTTCAGTACTGCAGACAGCACAGTGGGTTCACCAGTACACAGCACAGTCAGGCTCCTGACATTTCAGCACCTTGGTCAACTTATAGATTCTGACCAACACAAAGTCCGGTCAAATAAAGTGTCAGTAGCTCAGGCAGACACGAGCCAAATACACAACGGCCCCGGACTCTGTGCTGTTGCTGCTACAGGAGGCCAGCAGAGCAGAAATATATTTCCATCACTGTTAGATGTTTGACTTTAGAACTGGTTCTAACTAGGCCCAGCCTCACAGAGCTGTTTATATCATTTCATGCTTTATTATCTGACTGTGAGATAAAAATATATACTGCGGACATGAATTTATCGATCCATATTTTTCTTGTCACTTACAATCCTCTTTGATGACGACTGCCACATGGTGGCTATTTTAAAATGTTGATTTAACAGTACTATGTTGGTGTTCACTCTCAGCTGCCACCATACCAAATTTCAGCTCAAAATAGCAACAACAACAACAAAAAAAATCTAGTTATAGTCAGGTTTTTGTTCTTTTAAGCTATGGTGACCATCTTGGATTGTTGATTTGGATTCAGTATGAGATGGAGAAGGTTTTCAGCTATAACCTCGCCAAATGTCAGCTCTATGTGTAAAAATAGCTGAGTTAAAGCCATTCAAATGCAGCTTTGGTGGCCATCTTGAATGTTTTATTTAAATTATTTATTGGGCATTGCTCTCATCTACCACCACACCAAATTTCAGCTTAAATGGCTGATTTACAGGATTTTTCATTTTTAGCTCAGGTAGGCATCTTGGATATTTGATTTGCAACCAGTCTATGAAAAATGACTAATAAAGAATGGCGTCTTTGTTTGCAAATTACATCGCCATGGTAACTCGAAACGCCAACAAAAGTAATAGCGCACATCACGGTGCAGAGCCGGTCGTTTTGATATAATTTAGTGGAGGTACATGTTGTGGTTCGGGTCTCATTAAAGTTTACAGAAGAGTAAGATGTAAAGTTAACCTTGTCGGGTGGATAATAATAAGTGGCTGCCTTACTAGGCAGTCCCCAACTACTGGTTAAAACATACTGGTGTGTGTGTAGTCTAGGCAACATTATTTATTTTATTCAGTTTTGTAAATTATGTGCATTAATATCCATGTTTTTGTGTTTGAGTCTTCACATTTATGTTTTGTCCTTAAATAATCAAACACATACATTTTCTATGAATGCTTATTTATGTCATTCAGAAACAATGACAGAAGTAAAAAAAATGGTTTAATAGTTTATTACATTCATATAACAGTAATAGGAGTTTTATAAGGTGCATGTCAACCCGTACAGATGTTGTTAACATATAACATCACGTAAACATTAGAAGCTCACATCACAAACATGCTGAATAATTTACAAGTCTAACAGCAAGTTATGAGATTTACTGTTGATGTTAACAGAGAGCCACCATGTGGATAAATGAGGAAGTGTAAAGCTAGAAGGGTTTATTTGATGTCTTTTAAAACACACATTATGCTAATAAAGAGTTTGAGCTAAACGAGAGAAAATGTACATTAGATTCCCTGCTTTTCCTAATTTACCTCCACATGACTTCATCTAACGTGAGCCCATGACTGACCGCAGCCAGCTGAGGTGGCGCGACACTTTTTGGAAGATGTATCCTTTACTGCATTCGGCCCCCTCTGGCTGGATCACCACCCCGGTGAGGAAGAACACATCTCTGTACAGTGTAAGCAGGGGGCTGCCGGAGCTCATGGTGCAGTCCGCATTGGGTCGTGGAAACGTGCAGCCCATTTTGTTGGTCATCAGCGTGGGGTGTGTTTTCACACACTGAGGCAGCTGTTCGTACTTCAGGTGGTTAAGAGTGAGCGAGCTCTGGAAAACAGGCCCCTGCTCCGTGGTTTTCCAGCCGGTGACAACAGCTGGGAGCTCTCCTGACATCAAGATGCTCTCAGCAAAGTCCCTCTCAGGCAGGCAGGCGGCAACGATGTTCATCTTAAACACTATACGGTTGCGGAGCTCGATCACCGCCAAATCGTTGTCAGGACGGCCTTCCACGTAACGAGGGTGGACATGAACTAATTTTGTGTACAGCGTCTGCCCGTCATCTCTGATGCTGCGTTTCCCTGAGGAGGAGCAGGCGAGGACAGACAGCATTAGAGAACAGCTGACTCTTTAGTTCTTCGTGTTGTGCAGAGTTATATCTGCATTTACAGCATGTTGTAATTTAAACATAATAATTTTCTAACCGTGTGTTAAATGTAACAACAGTTCTTTGATAACTTTCCTTCCATTTAGTCTCCATTTAATTTAACACTGTTGTATTTACACTTTACGAATTTGTAAATACTTATTTACTCTGATGAGTTTCTGACAACTTTGACGAGTACATTCTGTAAAAGATAGTGCACTTTATTACAAAATTACTAAATATTTTATTTTGAAAGTGTAGAAGTCTCTGTGGAAATAAGCAAAATGTAAAACGCTCCTAAATAAACTTCATGGCAATTTAGCTCCACCACAAATTAGAACTCCATGACAAATTATTATTTATTAATGAGTACTTTCTAAACGGTTAACTAATATTAATTCAATATAACGATTTTACAAATTTAACACATATTTTTGTTAGTGTTAAATTAAATTAGGAAATAAAACAGCAAACATCTGCAACAGTCTCTCAGATGTATTGATTCAGTAATTTGTTCCTTGGGACTGCTTAGATATTTGTTGATCATGTAAATAATTGATACACAGTAGTCCCTCGCTACTTCGCAGTTCGTTTATCGCAGACTCGCTCTATCGTGGTTTTTCAAAACAAGATTGGACACGACACACAACTGGCAGATTGATGGATGAGCTGCACGATCGGCATGGAATTTTTATTTAAAATAAATTATTTTTAAATTATTTAGCACCTCTGTGCAGCCCACACTGCAGGATACACTTCCTGCTGCAGCTGATCAGCTGATCTCTGTGCAGAACGAAGAAGTGGGCGTGACCAAGAGCACTTGCAGGTGGCTGAAAGCAGAGGAGGCAGGGAGCTGAAATAATGACACTCTGTGCTCTTTTAGAGCGTTTAGAGTTTAGAAACATTGTTTAAAATGTTGCAAGAGTGTGGGAAGGGTTTAAAATACCTATATATATATATATATATATATATATGTGTGTATTTATATAAATACCAAAATAAACTACTACTTACTACTTGTACTACTATTCCTACTTAGCGGTTTTTCACTTATCGCGGGTCTTCAGGGTATGGATCCACCATGATAAATGAGGGACTACTGTAATAAAGGTAATAAATATGAAAAAAATTAAGAAATGTGAATCATTTTTAGGTCACTAAACTGTGTTTGGAAGGGTTGTTTGCAAAAAATGCAAAGTATTATAAAGATCATAGTTTATATATTGGTTTGGTAAAATCACAAAAAAATAAGGATGTTAATCAGTTTGTATCTCTAAACATGATACATCCTCTACAGAGTCTGACACGTTATGTTTTATTGTGTTGAACAATTAAAAATACGAAGACCTGGCATCACAGCAGAACTTTCAGGTTCCTGATTTATCAGCCCGTTGTTATTTTTCTTAAATGTTTGGAAGAGAAAAACGAGGAGTGATTGGTTGCAATTTAAACTTTTCTACTAAAATGTCACTAAATCCAGTCCACTCTGGTAAAAACTTGTTTTGTCTATTTAGGGACAAATACGATTTCAAAATAGTACTTTGTATAACTTTTTGTTTAAAGAAACAAGCCCACACAGAACTGTGTGGCAACAAATGTGAATTTAAATACTTTAGGTGGGCTTACATACAGGGTACAAGCCAATGCATGTTTAAAAAAATATTTTCATAAAAATATATGATATTACCAGACAATTACAGGCTGAAAATCTCATTTTAAAACTTGAAAAGGCACATTTAGACTTTGCTCCACCCACCAAAATAATAAACTTGTTCTGGTGATGTTTTGGATCATGGTAAAAGTCCTTTCCAACCAGGGGATCTGATGCCAGTTGTTTTAGCTATTATCAGCAGAAGCAGTGTTAGAAGCTAAATTGTTTTTCAGTTTGTTTACTCACCAACTGCAACCTGGAACGAGGTGTGTTTGTTGGCACACTGGGCCGACGTCAGGATCAGGTTCTCCTTCAGTATGACTCCACTACAGAAACCTTCAGACAGTGACGTCATCAGCAGAGCCTGCAAACAGGACGAGAACGGTGTAGGAACAGGAGAATGTTCTACGTGCTGCGTGGGAGTGTGTTGCATCCTACCTGCCAAGGACACTCTGTGGACGTACAAGTTAGTCCTTCAAAGTTGCTCTGACTGTTGCTGGACTGTCTGCTGTTCCACTGACTCAGGCTGTTCACCTTTCCACAGGGGAACGTGACTGACAGAGAAACATCACAGTTAGTTTTATAGAGAGGCAAAAATGACTTTTTATTAAACAAATAATTAGTTTGTTCACAAGTAATGCAAAAATGTTTATATCCACTGACAATACAAAACAAATAAAAACAGAAGCTATCAATCTTCCTTTGCCCATCCCGTTACCATTACGTTTTTGTACATTTCTGTTTGTCAGCAAAATATCACTCAATCACGAGTTATTGAGTTCCCCGTTATTGTTCGTCATTGAAAGGAGAAAGATGAACAATAATGTTTTTGCACATGTTCATAAGTTTGTTTGTTTGTTTGTTAGCAAAATAGCTTGTGAACCACTAGACTAATTTTAGAGACTCTCAGAAAGTAATCATTGTGTACATCTGCAACTGATTCAAGCGACATGTGTTCTCCCAAGCAACACTAGGCCTTTTGGTATTACTGATTTTACTGTAAAAATATCTAGTTCTCTTTAAGGAAATTACTTTTAAAAAATGCAACAGTAAAAAAAAAAAAGATCTTAGTGAGACAGCTCCTCTTAGTTGTGTAAAGTCTATAATTCTCAGTTAAACTGATTGACTGAAATTAAAGTTCTCCATACTGACACCTAATGAGTGCCTATATAACTGATTTAAAAAAAAAAATCACACCAACACCTACATACAATTAAGAGTGTTTTTTTTTTTTTAATTTAAATAACCAATGACCTGTTTTAAAAAGCAGAAACAGATGCAGGAAGCATGTTGAAAAATAAAACATTTGGTAATGGGAACTTTTGCTTTAAGCATCCTAACAAACAGACCTGCCGGCTCACACTTGACCTTGTTCGAACGGCTGAGCTTCCACCCACGAGCGCAGGAACACTCGTAAGACGTGTAGCCCGGTTTGCAGAACTGCGAGCAGCCCTTGTTTTCTTCCAGAGTGCAAAGAGTCTCATCTGCATCATAAAACAGAGAGAGGAGATGGTGGCAATAACTCATGAATAAACAATGATTTCCACTGGCAGCCTGTCCTGAGTCCCTTTAACCTTTTTCACAGTGGACCCCGGTGAAACCAGACTTGCAGATGCAGTCGTAGCCGCCCACACTGTCCGAACACATGGCTCCATTCTTGCAGGGGTTCTCTGCACACTGATCTCCATCTAAACACAGAACAAGCCCGTGAGAAGACGGAACGCACTACTAATGACTGTGCAGTAATGGGGATCTCTTAATGGAGAACTCACCGATGTAAACTGACCAGAAAATATCCTGGAAGAGAAAATGCACAAGTGATCGCCCGTCAATTATTAAACAGAGGTAGAGGAGAGAAACGAAGAGCTAACTCAAGCTTACCGTGCGGTACGAGTCCTGGAAATACTTTCTGGCCTCCTCGTAGGTGCACACTTTCTCCATGCACGCCTGTTCCAAGGTGGAGGACGGCGTTCCCACATTCCTCTTCTGACGGGAGATTAGAGAGGTGGCCTTCTGCTTCTCCAGAAACACTGAGGAAGCAGTTCCCGCCTCGATGATTTCAAAATTACAAGGTGACAAACTATAAATAATATAAATTACAGTAGTCCCTCGCTACGTCGCGTTTCGTTTATCGTAGACTCGCTCGATCGTGGTTTTTCCAAATAAGATTGGACATGACACACAGTTGGCTGACTGATGGATGAGCCGCACGATCGGCAAGGAATTTTTATTTAAAATAAATTATTTTAAAGTATTTAGCACCTGCTGCACATTTGGGGAGTGGTGGCGCAGAGGTTAGAGAAGGTGGGCCTGTGATCGGAAGATCGACGGTTCACGCCCCAGTACCGACAACATCAAAAATGTGGGTGGGGTAGGTGAAACGCCCACACTTGCCCCCACCCTCATTCGCCCCACTCTGGGCCCATGAGCAAGGCCCTTAACCCCCATCTGCTCCCTAAACAGGTCTCTCTTGAAAATGAGTTCTCGTGGCTCAATGAGACTACCTGGATAAATAAAGGGTAAAAATAATAAATAAATAAAAAAAAACATTTGTGCAGCCCAGAGCTGCAGAAAAAGCTTCCTGCTGCAGCTGATCAGCTGTTCTCCATGCAGAGTGGAGAAGTGGGCGTGGCCAAGAGCGCTTGCAGGTGGCAAAGCGCAGACGAGGCAGGGAGCAGAGATCATGACATTCTTTGCTCTTTTAGAGCGTTTAGAGTTTAGAAACATTGTTTAAAATATTGTAAGAGTGTGGGAAGGGTTTAAAACACCTTTATATATATATATATATATATATATATATATATATATATATAT